TTCTCATATTTACTATTTTTCTTTTTTGGTTCAATAATATTCCATTACTTTTACATACCACAAATTTGTTCAACCAGTTCCCAATCAATGGGCACTCTCTTTCTTTCCAATTTTCTATTGCTTTGTCAGAAAGGAAGGTCCTATCTACTAACATATTCATAACAGCACTTTTTGTGGTAATTGGGAATTGGGAAGTAGGGAGTTTCTGGGTTTTCCAGTGACTAATTGCATATACTTCCTAAAGTGGATTAGAAAATATGAAAGGAGATCAGCTATAAAAAGGAAAATCTCAGAGTGAGTTCACTGGGGCGTGGGCAGACAAAAGTCTGGCAGGTGGGCTGAATGAAGAAATACGGGGGGGGGGGGGGGCAAAGGCTCTGCTAACCCAGTAACGTAAGGAAGAATTAAGAAATTGGTATAATCACAGACAGTGAATTTAGAAACCATTCTTTAACTACTGTCTCTGGGAGAGGGAAAGAGATCGTTCAAAGAGAGGAAGTCACAGCAAAGAAGCAGATGTTACCAATTAATAGCTTTGGAAATAGGTCGTAAATGTGACTCTTACTCTCTTATCTAATCAGAAATATTCAGGGAGCATGTGAATATTACCGCTGATTTTGTTACCCAACCTGAAATTGTGTAGTACGGTTTTGGAATTTAAGAAGGAAGCTGATTTGTACTTGCCACTCACTTGTAGGACTTAGAACTAGAAGGAGACTGAATCAGGTGGCTTCTAAGGTCCCTTCCCACTCCAAATTTACAGTCTCATGATCCTTTGACCTTTGCAGGGTAGTTCCTCAAAACATAGTTTGGTTCATATGGCTTTTCTGCCTCAGACAATGTTCTTTTAGGGGAGAGGAGGCCAATCAGTAGTGGAACTGGACCCATAGGTGCCCCAAACACATCCAGCTCTGGCTGGCAGAGATAGTACAATGTAGTGACCAAGAGCCCTAGATTTAATATCAAAAGACGTGGGTTCAAGTTCTGACTCTGACACTTACTTGTTGTGTGGCCTTGGGCAAGTCACTTTTCTATAGGCCTCAATTTCCTCAACTGTGAAATGTAGGGATTTATCTAATTGATCTCCAAGTTCCCCTTGAACTCTTAGAGTTCTACCTAAGAAACTGAATAGGTAGGGCTTTCCCTGATGTGCTAATGTGACCACTGCCCATGATAAGGAGTAGGGGACCCAATCTGTTCTCAATAATTTCATCAGGAGGGCAGCTAGGTGGTGCAGCAGATAGAGCACTGGCCCTGAAGTCAGGAGTACCTGAGTTCAAATCCGGCCTCAGACCAAACACTTGACACTTACTAGCTGTGTGACCCTGGGCAAGTCACTTAACCCCGATTGCCTAAAAAATAATAATAATAATTTCATCAGGGCCTGGAATGATGATAATTTTAAGACAGAGAGAAAGGACTGGAAGAAAGCACTGATTATGATAGATGTGTTCCTCTCCCCATTCCACTGATCCCTCCTTCAAGAACAGTGAGCACTGTGCTTGTATTGGAGCAAGCTTAGGAGAAGAGGAGGAAACAAAGGCCTGGGTGCGGGCATCCAGAGTTGGCTGTTGTTGGCTTTTTTTGCCCCTTCCTTCCTTTGTCCATGAGAGAGACTTCCTGCCATTCCTTTGTGGGCTACTAACAGAGAGAGATACTGACAGTCTTGACTGTTTTGCCCTTGTAATTTAGAGCTACTAGGGAAAGGATCATGCCTATCACGAACATTGCTTGCTGCTACTGTAAACCATGCCAAAAGAGTTCAGACAGACCCTAGAGATCTGTGCTGCCGAGGCAAAGACGAGACTAAACTGTCATGCAAGAGAGATTGACCTAGTGCCTAAGTATCCCCAGCCCAGAGAGTGGCTAGTCAAACCAGTGCGTAGAAAGGCAAGTCCGGGTTAGCTGGACTTTAGCTGCTAAAAACTTCAGCAGAGGGAAGGGCTCAGGACATGAATCCATCTTCTAGCACCCTCTAGTTTCTCCCTTAACTTTTACTATCTTAGAGTATGGGTCTAGATAGAAACCCCATCCTCCCCACTCTCTCTCATTCATTTTCTATGCCCTGGGGGGTAAGAAGGAGGTTTTGGAGATATGGTCACATTGAAATTTTTCTGCGCATTTCAATGTGATAAATAAGCTATGAGCCAAAGAAATCTGATAGTACAGGAGTTCGGGGGCTGTAAATATTCCTTTTTTATGACACTGAGCAATATTTTTTTAATAAAAACCTAAAGCAGGCTTTTGAAGCAAACAAGGTTAAGTGACTTGCCCAGGATCACACAGGTAGTAAGTTATCTGAGCCCAGATTAGAACTCAAGAAGATGTCTTCCTGACTCCAGGCCCAACACTCTATCCACTGTGCCACCCAGTTGCTTTAGAACCCAGTCAATGAGGGTTTATTTCTTGCCCAGCCAATGAAGCAATATGGCTTGGTCAAAGTCAGAGGTTCACGCACACTAATAAAGGGACTGCCTGTGTGTTTGTCAGAGAAATTGCTCAGAACACTAGGCTAGTGGCCTAAATAAAATACCTCTAGACTCGACATGGTAGTGCACACCTGTAAATTCTTGCTGGGGAAGACGAGAGCAGGGAATTATTTGAATTTAGGAGCTCTGAACTATAGTAAGTTAGACAAATCAAGAATCTACTGTATTTCTGGCATCAATATGATGAGTGACCAGGCTGCCTAAGCAAGGGAGAATTAGCTCAGGTCTAAAATGGAATAGATCAAAGCTGCTAGGCCAATCAGTAGTGAGATTGGGCCCACAGGTGGCCTATGTACTTCCAGCCTGGGTTAGCTAAAAGGAGACCCAGTCTCCTATACACACAAACACAGATACACACACACACACACACACACACACACACACACACACATATAGGATATGTATATTCTATATATGTGTGTATAAATATATATACATATGTATTTATACATATATGGTCAGTCATTTTCTGACTCTTAGTGACCCCTTTTTTGGGTTTTCTTGGCAAAGATAGTGAAATAGTTTGCCATTTCCTTCTCCAGCTCATTTTACAGGTGAGAAAACTGAGGCAAAGAAGGTTTAAGTGACTGGGGGTCACACAGCTTGTAAGTATCTGAGGTCAGATTGGAACTCAGGTCTTTGTGACTCTAAGACTGGCACTCTATCCGCTGTGCTACCTCTCTGTCCCTTACATATGCATACATATATCCATTTGTTTGTGTAAGTGTGTATATATATATAAATATACCTATATATCTACGCACATGCATACACACACACACATATATTATATATATATGTATATACACACACACACACACACACACACATATTAATTATATAGTGACACCTTGTCTTCCTGTGAGCTTAAAGAAGTTGAGATGAGAGCTAGGTTGGGCTGTTACTGCTACTGCAGCACCTTGTTTCACATGGAAGATACACCAAATATACATACGAACATTACTAGAAGGGATAGTCCTCTAAGTAGGAGAGGGAGGGGGATGAAAGAAACAAATAAAAATTTTAAGTCAAATAAAAGATATATATAAAAATATGTTTTTAAAATTTTTATAAAAGAAAGGAAAGGGGCAGCTAGGTGGCACAGTGAATATAGCACCAGCCCTGGAGTCAGGAGGACCTGGGTTCAGATCTGGCCTCAGACATTTATTAGCTATGTGACCCTGGGCAAGTCACTTAATCCTGATTGCCTCCAAATAAAATAAATAAATAAAAGAAAGGAAAAATATAAACTCTAATTTAAAAAATATAAGTCCTCATTCTCTGGGATGAGCAAAATGTGCTCTGATTCTCTGTCCTAACCAAGACAGTATTTGAAGTCCCAAACAAGCATAGACTCTCAGACACAGAAGGAACCTTAAAGGTCTATACATACCCAAATCTATCCAGGTTCAAAAAAATAAAGCAAGAAATATTTCTGAGCTATTAGCACTTTTAAAGGAAGAAATTCAACCCTACTTCTGTCCCCCAACCCTGGAAAAGTTGAAGGAGTTCATGTCAAAAGAGATCCCTCTGGCATGGTGTCTGACGAAAGTTGGCAACCTGTGGAACCCTTGACTCATTGCAAGGGTTCCATAAATCCATATGCTCAAATAACCATCATATTCAATAACTCAGTAATAAAATAGACAAGCACATTTTTCATAGACTGAATTAGTATATCTCACATATCCATGTAAAACTAGTTTTTCAAATGAATGGAGAAGTAGCATGCCATAATGGCTAGTGAGCCAACCTCAAAGCCAGAAAGACTCAATTTCTAGTCTTGCCTTTGAGAAATACAAGCTGTGTGATCTTGATCAAATCACTTAACTTGTCAGTAATCTAGACAGCTTTCTAGGATTGTAATTTGAAGAAAAGGTGCTGACTTCTGTTGGTAAAAGGAGTCTCTTCATCCAGGAGTTTCCTGTACCAAAAACAAATAGGTCTAATTCCTATTTCTTTGGAGATGCCACTATGATTATTAAAACACTATTAATTAAAAGCAAATAATAGTAGTTCATCTTATGCCACTAACCAGTTGACCATTTGGTCCTTCTTTTTCCCTTCCTTAGATCTATTTCTCAAATAAGATTTCATGGCTTGAGTCTTCTAAAGGTTTAAACGAACCCTCTATGACCAATGGGGTAGAGTTTTGGTGTTAAACTGATATAGAAATGGATCCCTGCACACATTGATTTAAAAATCACAAATCAACATTATTTATGTTATATTGTGTTTTTATTGATTTTACTAAATGTTTCCCAATTACATTTTAATCTGGTTCAGACTGTTCCAGGGAGGTTTTGAAGTAGTCTCCTGGCCACAGGTTTGATGCCTCTGGGGTAGAAAACTGGGTTTCCCTTTGACGGGAAAAGTAAGGATCAGTAACTGGCAGATATGGGCTCCATTTTCCATGTTAGTAAGATGTTAAGTTACCATGAGGCTGATTATGGAGCTATGTTGATTTGCACAGCTGATATAATATGTGTGTGAAATGTTCTTTACATGCAGAAAAAATATCATTGACTTGGAAGATCTTCGATGTGTCAGGTTAACCCTTACAGGCCAGATGGTTTCCGTGTCTCCAGAAGAAGTGGAATTTGCTAAGCAAGCTGTGTTTTCAAGGTTTGTACATGTTCTAATGTAGGTTTGGCTTGAAATATGTCATAATAATTTACTTTTCCTCCTGTTGATGAAACAAGAAAATTGACTTTTAGCAGAGGGGTAAGGATGGCAGAGAAAGAAATGGGGGTGAGGATGCTATGACCAAGCATGATGCTATCACTGCCTCACTGTTAACATGGCTTAGACTTCGTAGTTAATAAAAAGCCCCTGCGAGACAGGGGGTCTCTAGGTAATTAATAATCAATTTATTAATTAAGCTAGCTAATAAATAAATTAATGGTCAGTGGTTTCTCTCAAGGGTGACTCTAGACCACCTTAAATTAGACGTGTACCTTTTGACAGAGAACTCCCCTGACAAGTAAAATTCAACCCTGATTGATGGACATTTAATGGGGAGATGGGCTAAAAGTCTTCAGCTCCTCCTGCTGAGAACATGGCTTGATCTTGAGACTCAGCAGCTTCCAGCAATCTGGGCCAGGGAAGCCATTTTCATTCCAAACCTCTGGCTATTTTTCTTTAAGAGTAGGATCTAGTTACTTCTAATGAGGGGGATCAAGGACCAGGAGAAATGTCCCTGGGGTAAATATCTAGCTGATGCTGACCTTTGTTTACCAAGTACACAAAAAGTAAAGGTTCCTGCCAGGTAGATGCCTCGGAGATGGGAGAAGGTAATTACCTTACAATTACGCTCTTCTAAAACTGCCTGATCTTTTTAGGAGTTGGGTCTTAACAGAAACAGAAGTAAAAGGATGGATCACAAATTAATAATTAGTTATTAATATAACAGAATAATATTAATTTCTCTCACCTGGCCCCTTTGCTCTGTTGCCATTCATTGTCAGCCCATTGTTTGGGCACAATTGTTTCAAGGAATGAATGACATGTGAGGCCTAGAAATAATGAGCAAGTACTACTTTTTTTATGTCCATTCTTGGTATAATAGTAAGACAATGGGTTGGAATCCTGCCTCTTATGTGATCCTTTCTGGGCCTCAGTTTCCTCATCTGTAAAATAAGGGAGACTTGGTCTTCTAGGTGGCTTAGTAGAGGGCTGAGTATGGTGCCAGGAAGATTTGCATTTGAATCCTGCCTCAGACATTTACTCACTTTGTGAGTCTGGACAATTGTTTTAACCTCTTCTAGTCTCAATTAATTCATCTGTAAAATAAGGTTAGACATACTGGCCTCTAAGCTTTCTTGCAGCTTTAAATCTTGGGTCCTGTGATTCATAGAGTCAATTTTTCTTGGACTTCAAAGAAGTCCTGGGCTATCTGTTGTCACATGTTTGAGAGACTGGGTGGTACAATGGTAAGGATGCTAAAAAAACCAGAAGACCCAGATTTGCATCCTGACAAAGCTGCTTGTTGTCTTATTTGACTAAGGGCCAGTCACTTAGTCTCTCTAAGCCATCTATAAACTGGGGATATAAATGCTTGCACTCTGTACCTCACAGGCTAGGAAAGTGCTTTGTAAGTTGTAAAGCAAGTTTCCTGAAAATGTAAGCTCTGAGTCAAAAGAACAAATTGCCGCTGGACTTTACTTTGAAATGAAAATGATAGATCTCTCTAATTCTTGTCAAAACATGTTAGGCATGTTATTCAAAACCATCTAGATAAATGCAAATTTTGGACAGGCCTCATATTTCCCAGGCTCACAATTTTAAAAAAATCTATAAATAGTCTCCATCATGATTCTCTTTTTTCTTTAATGATTTGCTTTCCTGATGATCAAATTGTTCTCAGTTACCTGGCTGGTGCTATTGGCCAGAATAGGCAGCCCCAACTTGCACTTGACTTTAAAGAATTATGTGGAGCAGGTCACACCCATGTTACCTAGAGCAGATGAATTTTGAACCTTACAAATTAAACTTTTGCTCTAGGAACACTGGAAAAGCATTCATCCCTACTATATGTGCCGCATGAATTAGTAACATCCAGCAAGTTTCTCTGAAAAGTTCTCATTTCCAAGACATATGAAGACTTGCTTCAAGTTTATAAGAATAAGAGCCATTTCCCAGTTGATAAATGGTCTAAGGATGAGGCTGTTCTCAAAGAAATAATTCCAAGCTGTCAATAGGTGTTTGAAAAAATGTTTCAACTCACTAATAATTGAAGAAATACAATTTAAAGAAATTCTGATATTCTACCTAATACCCCTTAGATTGGCAAAGCTAACAAAAAAAAAGGAAGATGAACTTGTGAAAAATAGGCATATTGACCCATAGTTGGTAGAGCTATGAATCAGTCCAACCACTCTGAAAAACAATTTGCAACTTTGTTGCAAAAGTTACTAAATTGTGCACCAGCTTTCACCCAGCTTTACCTCTAGTAGGCCCCAAAGATCAAAGAAAGAGGAAAAGGCCCTATGTATATCTATAACAGCACTTTTTATGGGAACAAAGAATTGGAGACTGGGGAAGGTTGGGGTATGAGAATACTCTGAATAAAATATGATATATAAATTTAATGCAGTACTATTTTGCTATAAAAAATTTTAAAAGGGATAATTTTAGAGAAACCTGGGAAGACTTGTATGAACCAGAGCAGAATTAAGTGGACAAAACCGGGAAAAACAATTTATACAAAAAGAAACACCTTCGAAAGACTTAATAACCCTGATCAATTCAATGACCAACCACAAAAGAAGATCAGTGATGAAGAATATTACGCATCATGATGAGACATTGAGGTGATGGACTCAAGATGCAAAGTTGGTCTTACATTTTTGGATATAGCCCATGCGGAAATTTGTTTTGGTTAATTTGTGTGTGTGTGTGTGTGTGTGTGTGTGTATGCATTATATTGTACATATATACACATATACATACATGCATTTATTTAAACTAAGGTTTTGTTTTGCCTTTCTTCTTCCTGAACAATGGGAAGGGGAATGTGAGAGAAAATAAATATTTGTTAATTAAAAAAAAGAAAAAGTTACATCAAACAACCTGTGCTCCAAAACCAATAAGTATTTATTTAGCTGAGCATCTGACATGTGCCAGGTACTGGGGATACAATGACAACAATTGCCCCTGACCTTAAAGAGTTTTATTCCATCAGGCAAAACAGCATGTGTGCATATAAGGAAATACAAAATATATGCAAGTAAAAAGAAATTTCTAGGTTGAGAGGAGGCACTAACTGGGGCAAGGGATGTCAGAAAAGGCACTCAATAAATGTTTGGTGAATTGATTGGAAGGTTTGTTTGCCAAAATGGCAAGGCTTTGAATAGGGGCCTTGAGACAAAGGATGTCTATCATTAGGTCATAGGCCTAGCTAAAAGCAGAAAGTATTATCACCAGAGCTTGACCAATGAGTGATCAATTTTTTCAGCCACAACATTTTCATGAAGACTATCTCTTAAGACATAAAAGGATCACAAATCTCATCTGCAGAGGGAATACCCACACTGATGAAATTACAGGTGCTTGAAATATTAAAATAAGTAATCAGGACTAAGTGCCTGCTTAATTGGTTCATTGTTTAAATTCAAATTTATAGTTAATTACTTATATCTGTGTTTTTTAAAGAACTAGACAAATTGGTCAGAATTCTGATGTCTTTCAAAGTTCTTTCCCCTCACATAACTAAAGATAAAGATTGAGACATACATTCTTAGACTTGGCCCAATGGGTTGATTTACTCTGCTTGACTATATGTATTTGTTACAAAGGAGGGCTTCTACTTGTGGGTGGGGAGGGAATGTGGGTTAGTGAGTAGTGATAGATATGAATATAAAAAGAACATTAGTAAAACATTTTTAAAGCACAAAAGAAAAAAAGAAGTATAGAATGGCGATATAAATAAGACCAAGAGATGGAGAGATAATAGATAGATAGATAGATAGATAGATAGATAGATAGATAGATGTGAATTTTTAAAAAGTATTACTAAAACATCTTTAAAAGGGCAGAGAAAAAAAGAAGTATAGAAGGGGGACACAAATATAATAGATAGATAGATATATGCTTTTAAAAAACTGTACTGATGGAGTTTCACAGTTTCCTATACAATCTTCCTGTTTGCCTTTGTATCTTGAAATATTTGTGTTTGATGATTAAATTCACAATAAAAAAGAAAATTCAAAAACCCTTTAAGGAGAAATAGCTGTGCTTTGGTATCTTCTTTTGTTCTTACAGGCATCCAGTAATGAGGAAGTGGCCCCGTCATTATGAGTGGTTTTTCATGAAAATGAATGTTGAAAATGTGTGGCTCCAGAACTGGCACGGAGGAGTTTCCAACATTGCGACAGAAGAATATTTCAAAGAAGTTCCAAGTAAAGCTTGAGGAAGCCTTGAGATGAACCTTCACAGCTCCCATCTTTGCTTTTAAAAATTCAGTTATTTAAAATTATGCCAGCCAGGCAATAGTTAGGTAGGCTCTCTTTTCAGAAAGGTTCCCAACAGACTATGACCATGAACCACTGGGTTAACAAGAGAGGTGAAGATGGCCATTTCCAAATGGTGGATTCCCAATGATGTAATAGATGGCTTTTGTTTAAAATCACTTCAGGTGATTAATTCACTTTAGGTCCACTCATTTGGTACTCCTTGGTGTGCATCAAAAAGATGACAGACATAGTATGTGTTGAAACAGTTGGTTTCCATTCTGTAGGAAAACCAATTACTCATGTGAGAATAATGTGACTGCATTATATTGTGAAAGTGCTTTTCTTTCTTGCGTTGCCAAAAGCATTGTCCAAGTGTTCTAAGTTTGATACAACTATAAAGGGTTTAAATTAATGTCATATAGCCACATGTGTTTTCTAATAGTTGGAGAAAAACCTTTGAAGGATGGTGGAGCATGTAGCCATGAATTGTAAATTGTGCTCCTGGATTACAAGCATGTTACCAAATCACCTGGTTATGATTTACAGACCAATTACATAACTTCCCCCCCCCATCCCTTAACATGACCAACAGTGTAAGATCTTGGAGTTTTGTACTTAGCCTTAGTCTAAGTAAGCTGATTATGAGAGTACAATAAACAGGATGGCTTGTTATACTGAACAGTTTGGGTAAAAAAAAAGCCAATGCTTATTACATTTGTCTCTGCCATTCTTCAGCTAAAACCTGAAGCAGTTCAGTGTAAGGGGGCAAAAAAGGGAGTGGAAAGAAGCTGTTCATGTCATCTCTGGCAAGAGAGAAAAGAACAGAAGCTCAGAACTGGAAGGGATCTCAGAGGACCTAGGCCTCACCTTTGCCTGTGTAGAAATCCTTTCTATGTTTCCTAACAAATGGTCATCTGTTCTCCTTTTGAAGACTCCAAGGCTGGAAATCTGACTACTTCCTGAGACAGCTCATTCTACTGTGGGACAGCTCCAGTTGTTAGGAAGGTTTTCCTTTATATAGAGCCACATTCTGCCTCTCTGAAACTTTCACCTGTTGTTCTTGGTTCTGTCTAATGGAGTCAAACCAAACATTTCTAATTCTAATTTCTCTATCATGTGAAGATTCTTTAGCCGTTTGAAGACAGCTGTCATGTTCTTCCAAACCCCCCCTTTTTAATGGCCTAAATAGCTTCAGTTTTTTACATAGAATGAGAATAGATGAGAAGGTGAAAATGTCCTACATAAATAGAAAAGAATTAAATCAGGAAAACAGCAAAACGGCTGTTGAAGAGATTTATTGATTGGAGCCATATTTACTATACCCTTTACTTTAAAAATGTTGTTTCTGAGACATGATTCTTATTAAGCTTTTAGAATGTCTGTGGGAGCATTTACAAAGTCTGACATGGTTTCTCAAAATTTGTTGTACATTATGCAACCAGATTATTTGGCCTAAGAAACAATAAGAAGACAAAATTTCCCAGTCCATTACTTCTTGCGTGCATGCCTTGATTTCTAAGTTCTGAAGTCTAAGTGAGTAATTCTAAAAGAGTATTACTAAGTTGCTCTGTTAATACTTTTAGGACACCCAGCAAAGTTGAGTCTTTGTTGCACACATATTATATGAAAATCTAGTTGAAAAACCCACTTTTATTTTGATGGTTTCTAGTACCACTTCTAAGAGATATATAATTGAATTCACTACCATAGCTATAAGTACCCAACTTTCTTATCCTTGGAAGATGATTTCTAATCCTGACTTATTAGATCCGTGTGTGTGTGTGTGTGTGTGTGTGTGTGTGTGTGTGTGTAACATTAAATGTTATTTTTTAAATGGAGATTTACCTTCTCTCCCTCCTATTTCCCTCTCCCATTGTGAAAACAAGAAAAGAAAAATCCCATTACAAACATGTATTGTCAAACAAAACAAATTTCTCATTGGCCATGTCCAACATACATACATATACAAAATATTTTATGTATATGCACATATATGTACATATATGTAAATTCTGAATGATTAGTTCATTATCAGGAACTAGGTAGTCTGTTTTTCATCATGAGTTCTCTGGATTTGTGGTTAGTCATTGTGTTGATCAGAATTCCAAAGACTTTCAAAGTTACTCCTTTTCACATGCTGCTGTTATTGTAAAAATTGTTCTCCTGCTTGTACTTACTTCACTCTTCATCAGTTCTTCCCAGGTTTTTCCTAAACCATCTTTTCATCATTTCTTACAGCATAAAAGTATTCCATCACATTAACATACCATAACTTGTTCAGCCAGCTCCCAATCAATAGTGCTGCCCCCTCTTCCAATTCTTTGCTATGGAAACACAGCTAAGATCTATCCTTTATACCACAAAATTCATCACTATATATGAGAAATGTAAACTTCAAAAAAATGAAAAATAATTGAGATTAAACAATGTATTATGTTAAGCAAAACTAAGTCACATGGAGAATTTCATTTATCCAAATGTGGATTTTTAAAAATCATTGGACAGGACTTATAGAAATTCTCCAATAACAATAACACATTTAAATAGAAGTTTACATGCTGATTCATTCTGATGTAGATTTATTAAAGGACAGCTCACCAAAGTGAGTATAGAAATTCCTAAGAGTGTTATCAATATACTTTTCTGTCGTATTTCATCATTTTGGTCTTCTATTATTAATTTTATTCATTTTTCTTTCACAACAAACCAACACATGAAGTGGATTGGTGGTCCTGTTCCCATTTTACAAACAAGGAATATGGAGTTGATTGTGAATCATTTTTAGAAACAAAGTTAGCACCACATTCCAAGAAACTCATCTAGTAATTAATTCCATGAATTGTAATTCCTCTCGACATAGACTTATAGCTTATAAGTTCATAAACTACAACTACAGCAATATCTGAACACTCTTCTAGATGGCTGTGGCATGATCCTTTTTGAAATGAATTATCACTTTGTGCTTTAAAAGTCACTGGCTAGCTATTTTTTAATTAGATTTTTTTCAATCAGCAAAATTTCTCTTTTCTCCCTCATACCCATTGCAATTGAGAATGAAAGAAAAATTAAACTCCAGTTATAAACATATATAGTAAAATAAAACAAATTTCTACATTGGCCATGTCTGAAAGGAAAAAAATAATATATTACACACACACATATATACATGTATACATGTGTATATTTATATTTATAGACTGGAAAGATTCAGAGTAAGAATAAAACATAGTATATGTATATATATATATATACACATATATATATATCTTCTATATATTTATAGATTGGAAATTTAAAACTTATAGATTGTATGTATGTGTGTATGTATATATTGTTGTTGTTATTCAGTCATTCAGTCATGTCTGACTCCACATGACCCCATGAACTTTTGTCCATGGGTTTTCTTGGCAAAGAAACTAGAGTGGTTTAGCCGTTTTCTACTTCAGTATGTTCTCATTTTACAGATGAGGAACTGAGGTGGGGGGTAAGTGGCTTGCCCAGGGTCACACAGCTAACAAGTATCTGAAGCTGGATTTGAACTCAGATCTTCCCAACTTAAGGTCCAGTGCTCATATCCACCGCACCACCAAAGCTGACCCATACGTATATGTCATATACATAGATTCTGCACATGCACACACACACACACACACACACACACACACACACACACACACATTCTGCATTCTGAATCTTCCTTTCCATCGGGAGGTGAGTAGCATGTTTTGTTACTAGTCATTTGGAATCATGGTTGATCATTATGTTGATCATAGTTCCTAAGCTTTTCAAAGTTATTTGACTTTACAATATTGTTGTCATTGTATAAATTGTTTTCCTGTTTCTGTTCACTTCACTCTGTATTGGATCATTTAAGTCTTCCCAGGTTTCTCTGAAGCCATCCCCTTTGTAATTTCTTATAGCATAATAGCATTTCACAACATTTGTATACCATAACTTATTCAGCCATTCCCCAGTTGATGGACAGGTCCTTAGATTCTCATTCTTTGCCACAGCAAAATGACTATACATATATATTATATCTTTTTAATTAGAGTTTGTTTTGCTTAGGACCACTCCCTCTCTAGAGCTAGCCTCCCTCTTATATTCTCTTTTCTTTTTCATTTTCCTGTTGAACGAAATGTACTCAACTGTGTGTTTGTGTATTCTTTCCTTCTTTGATCAGTTCAGATGAAAGTTCAAGTACAAACTGTTCCCCACCATTCCTCCTTGCTTGTGTATATTTCTTCTTGCACACCCCAAATATGTGAGATAACTTTCTTTAACATTCCTTTCCCTTACCCCTAGTGCATTCCTCTTCACCTCCCTTTCCATTCTTCTTAAGACTACCAAGGTATAAAACAACCACTCCCAGGCCTTTTGTTTAATTTGACTGTAGGGCCTATAATGATTATACGGTTCAAAGAGGACACATGTATCATTTCCTCATATTTAAATGTAAGCAGTTTATCCTTTTTATATTTATCTTTTTATGTTTCTCCATATTTGAGAGTCAAAGTTTCTATATAGCTCTGGTCTTTTCATCAGAAATGCTTGGAAGTCTTTTTAAAGGTTCCTTCTCACCCCCACCCCCCTATATGACTATTCTTATTTTTCTAGGTAAGTTATTCTTGGCTGTAAGCCTACATTCTTTGCCTTCTGTAATATTGTATTCCAAGCTCTCCTTTAATTTATGGCAGTGGCTGCTAAATTGCTTATGATTCTGACAAGGGTTCTTGAGTACTTGAATTCTTTCTGAATGCTTGCAGTATTTTTTCTTTGACCTGGAAGTTCTGGATTTTTGCTATAATGTTCCTTGAAGTTTTCATTTGAGGGTTTCTTTCAAGAAATGACCAGTGGATCCTTTCTATTTCTACTTTGTCCTCTGGCTCTAAGAGATCTGGGTAGTTTTCTCTTATGATTTCTTGAAATATGAAGTCTAGGCCCCCTTTTTTTTCTGTCATGGCATTCAGGTATTCCGAGTATTCTCAATTTTTTTTTTCTCCTTGGTGTTTTCCAGGTCAGGGTTTTTTTTTGTTTGTTTTATTTTTATTTTATTTTATTTTGCTGCTATCAGACATTTTATACTTTGTCCTATTTTTTTTCAGTCATTGAACTTAATTTTAATATTTCTTGTTGTTTCATTGAGTCATTGGCTTCTATGTTCCATCCTAATTTTTAGGGATCTTGTTACTTGGGCAAGGTTTTGTACCTCTTGTGCCAATCTGTTGTTTCCCTTTCCAATTCTTTCTTTCATTTCCTTTCCATTTTGTCCTCAAGTGCTTTCATCTCATTTATAAAAACACTTTAACTTTTTTTAAAAACTTATTTAATTTCTTCTAAGAATTCCAGCTAAGTTTGTGCACAAGCTGAGTTTCGCAGTCATTTTCTTCTGGGTTTGTGTCTTGAGCATCCCTCTCATCATAATAGCTTTTCATGGTGGGATTTGTTCCCTCTCATTCTTCTTGCCTACTTTCTGACTTGCCTGAGCATTTGTGGAGGGAGGTCTAAAGTTGGCCCCTTTCTTGGGGTATTGAGTGTTGTATTATTCCAAGATCCCAGGAACAGCTCAGTCTAGGGATTTGCAAGCTATCGAGTGCTCCCAAAGTAGTCTAATCCAGGGTCTAAGTAATTGCTGTCCATGATCTGAGCTCTGCAAGTTCCCGACCTTGGGTCTGAGCAACAGAAGACTGCTGCTCCACTCAGCCCCCCTGTTAACCAACTGTGAAACTTTGTTGACTCAGTGACAGAACTGCAGGCTCCCTTTGGGTCTGGGATTCCTGTTCTTGTTATTCCTTTGCAAGCTTCAGACTGGGATAAAGGTTGGAGATGAGACGCCACTCTGCTCTTGAAGTCTGAGACATGTCTCTGCTGCTTCTTTCTGAATTTAGTTCTCTATAGGTGTAACACTTAGGACGTGCAACTGCTCCTTACCCCAAAACACTAGCCCTGGGTGCAGGTCCCCTTCTCAGAATTCCCTTGGATTTGTGGCCCATAACTGGGTAGTGAGTGACAAAGCTTCCAAATGGCATCTGCAGGAGTCTGGGAGCTCATCTTGGGCCAGCACATAATCTCTCCCTGTGCCCGAGCACTCTGTGTGGGCATGCTCCAGGCCAAACCCCATCCTTAGTGTTGGCTGACCTTTCTCTCTATCTCCCTATGCCAACTTGGTCCTGAAAAATGACTCACTGTGATTTTTTTTCTTGAATTTCCCCATCAGGATTTGGTGTGATATGTTTTTTAGATCTGTTTGGCAAAGTTTGGCTGAGGGTGGAAAGGAGGTGACCTCACTACACTTTTTCCATGTTACTCCACCATCTTGGCTGTGCCCTCCACAGATTAGCTTTAAACTGTGGGCACAGGTTTTGATTAATGATAAATATCGGTTGCCTATGAAAATTACATGATACCAAATCCAAACAGGTTGAATAATTACAAGGAGCTATAGAAAACACATATGGCCATCTGCCATGCTCCATGTCCTGGAGTAGTCTGGCTCTAACCCAAACCTGAAGTTTAGGATTTAAGGCCAGGTTGCAGATCTAGGTATAGTCAGTTCTGCTAGAATACTTGTTTTGAAAATTCAACTTTTTTCCAGAACTATTGACATCTTAGATAATGGTTTCTTGAGAGACAACAAGAAGACAATACTCATACACATTTTCTACTACAACTTTCCATCTGATTTCTGAGAACCTTTCTTCCACTATTTCACAATAACTCTCAAGCATCGACCTTTACATGGCTCACTTCCACAAGCAAACTTCAGGCCTTTTTCAAAGTAAAGCGTGATATTCATTGTATATCCTCTGTTGCAGCAGGGAACTACGAGC